TAGAAAGCCCTCTAGGCCCCCATTGCACTTACAGCCAGTGCAAAATCTTAAGGAAGAAAAAAAGTTTCAAACAAGAAACATAAGAATGGCCATTACTGGGTCAGGCTGTAGGTTCGTCTTGTCCATCCTCCTGTGTACCGTAGTGGCTGAAAGGGAGAGTGAAGTGGGTCTTAAAGGGTTTTTTCTGCTGTTTTTCGCCCATTTGCTGCCTCCTGTATTGAGGAGCTAGGAACTTCTGCTTCAGAGGTTGCATCCCTAACTTCAGCTACTGAGTGATGGCCCTTTCCTCCAAGAAGCTGTCCAATCCCTTTTTGAACCTGGCCAAACTGTCAGCTTCTGCCACATCTGGTGGCAAGGAGTTCCCCACTTTCATTGCACGCGGTGTGACAAAGAACCTACTTTTGTTAGTTTTAAACATGCTACCTACTACTTTCACTTTATGACCCCCAGTTTTTGTATTGTGAGAGACAGGAAATAATAACTTCCTATCAGCTTTCTCTTCACCATGTAGTATTTTGTAAACTCCTATCATGCCATCCCTTCAAGCGGCTTTTCTAAACTCAGCAGGCCTAGCCTCTTTAATCTCTCCTCATATGGAAGCCCCTCTATACTGCTAATCGTCCATACCTCCCTTCTGTGGACCGTCTCTAGTTCTTCTATATCCTTTTTGAAGTGTGGGGACCAAAACTGGGCACCGCATTCAAGGTGTGGACGCACCATAGATTTATAAATCGGCTACAACCTGCAATTTTCCATGCAGAAGAATAAAAAGGGGAAACAAATATTAAAAAGAAAAAAGCAACAGCTCCCGTTAGCACAGGTTTTATTGTGCCATTAATACGACCATAAACAAGAACAACTGTGTTTATAGGCTCCAGTGCTTCCGTGCCGAGTTGCTGACTTGGTGAAACTGCCGGGGCATCGGTATAAAGTGCAAAATGAACTGGATTGTTGTAGCCATGTTGTAAAACCATCTGGGCAGGTGACCTTTGAGCAGAAGCAAGTGATCGCTCAAAAGCATCTTTGCAGCAGCAGTAAAGGCAAGGGTTCGGTAGAAGAAGGGAGGCACCCAGGGCGAACACATGCCAGCTCCCTTGTTTTTTGGTAGAGTGAGATGAGCCTCCCGTAGGACTGGGCAATGCTAGCCTGAGCAACAGGGGAAAGAAAAGCATCTCTCCCCCAGGGGACTCTCTGCCACCAGGGATGGCATTAACGTTCCCCGTGATCCTTGTTCTTGCTCTGGCTCCTGTATGTCCACCAACTTCCCCCTCCGCAGAGCCGGAAGCAGCAGTTCAAGAGTGACGGCACTTCGTGTGGCAAGATCCCTGCTCCCCAACAGGGAGAAGCGAGGGATTCTGGCGGTACCCCCCAGGCCACCCAGAGCATCCCTCTGACCAGCCCTCGACCCCCCCGCCCCCTCCATATCCCCACAAGGACAGCATCCATGAGGCTTTGCTCCCCCCGCATCATCTTCATGACCCGCAGCCCCAGTGCGGTGGACCCGTCTGGGCTGTGCTGCATGGTGGCAGTCCGGCACAGAGGGGCTGAGGCCGTGAGCAGTGAGCCTTGGGGAAGGTGCGAGGACCCACTACACCATGTTGCACACATCCCAGTGCTTTCCTGTCTTGTCCCGTTGTCTCCTTTTGTCAGCCAGCAGGGCCCTGAGCATCCAGGCTTCCAGTCAATTTGCTGGCAGGCAATAAATAACACCGCTGGAGCCACTGGTGTCAACATCTTGGCATTGCTTGGGTCTCCTTGTTTGCCTTTAAAATAGCTCACCCGCTCAGGGTCACACACACAAAAGCAAGAACCCCTTGCTATTGTCTGCAGAAATTAGCCCATTGCAAATTCTGCTCAGCTGCCCCCCCTGCTCACTTTTCCTAAATAAAGCGTGGGGTTTAACTAGCCACTGGAGCCTATTGCTCATTTTCCATTGGTGTTTTTCCATTTACTATGTCCTGCCCTTGCCCGACCCAACATGTTGGCTTGGCGTGAGGAATGAGTGGCCATAGTTTGCCCAAGGCGGGCCCGTGGTGATAACCTGCCAGGAATCTGAGGGTAGCACTTAGTTCTGGCTCCTTCCCTGGTATGAACCAACATAACCCCATCACCTCCAACAATCTTTGCTGTCACATGCAGGAAACAGAGCAGAGCACCGTGTTTGATCCCCAGCTTCACTCTGGAGAGGGGACACATGGAAATCAGAGCTCAGAACCGATGCTCCATCTCCACGTGCATCTTCGGGTCCAGATGGACCCTTGCATAATGGGAACCAGCATCTGTGGGTCTTGCTATCCTTGCAGAAGTCCCCACACATACTTTGTCTCTCCCTGTTAGCAGTATATCCATGCCGCCATGGAGACCTCAGCTCCAGGCATAAGGAGATGGCAAAACGTGCAGGACTAGCACAGGGAATCGGGTGAATTCCTCCTCCGTTGCAATCCTGGAGAACTGTGCAAGTTCATGCTGCAGAATTAATGGGCAGTGAAGTGCAGAGCAAGCTTTCCATGGTAGATGGATGCTGTTCTGAACAGGACTGGCTGGTGCTGCGGTCAAAGGGGATGAGCCAGTGCCCATGAGAGCACAACATGGCCAAACACTTCTGAGGAAGGAATAGAAGAGAAACGCAAGCACCGCGGCCTAGAGAGAGAGGGAGGAATATAGACCTAAGCAGTGATGTCCTGAGCATTAGATTCTGACCATGGATTCACATGCAACATCCCTGCTCACACCAAAGCTTGAGGGGTTGCTAAACCGCGCTGTCTTCCATGCAATGCCGTAATACGAAGTCAAAAAAGTCAGCAACTAAGAGGGGAGGGACCAGAAAGCAGCTTTCTAAGCCAGCATTTTCCAGTCAGGGTGCTGCGGTAGGCTGGGGTGCCATGAGATCCTTTCAAGGGTGCCGCAGGGTGTGAGCAGATGCCACTGTTAGTGCACCTCAGTGGCAGAGGCTGAAGAAAGGGAACTTTTGACTCTGAAACGAGTTCGAGGCTTTGGGCTTATCACGGTGGAGACGACTCAGCACCACGCTCTTCTGCAGAGAGCATAGCACAAAACAGCTGATATCTTGAGCATCAACTGCCCAGCCAGGATCAGGCCTTCGATAGCCCCCAGCTCACCAGACAGGGGCAGCAGGACTGATTAACAGGGGCCAAGGATCAGAACATTTTTAAGGAGATGATGCACTGGAGAGGCATCAACATCTAAATTCACAAAAGCTCAGAGAGGCAGAGGGCCAGGCCATAAGGTGATACAATTCAGATTTGCTTCACTGAAATCAAGAGTTCAGCCTGGATTTGCACTGAAACAAGTGAGCCGAAGCAGTGGCCCAGGCTGTCTCATCCGAGCACCTCTCTGCGTAACGCCGCGGTTTCCAACACACACCGCAGGGAAAACAGGTCTTCTAGACATTCAACGCTTGAATTGCTCGGAGAGGCTGGAGTGCAAATGGAACAAAACCACTGCAAAATGTGTTTCCATTTAATGCTTCAGATAAGCAGCTGGCTTGGAATCGGCGGGGCCTTTGCATGAGAGTCCAAGGGGAAAGAAAGCCAGTGTAAGTCGGCAGCGATCGGTGCTCCTAGCGGGACAGCCTCTCATGTCCCTTCTGAAGTTAAGCGAAGCTGAAGGAGGGCTGGCGTCCCCCCGGTCGCTCGGAGCATTGCTCTGCCTCTAGCAACGTAGAGGGAAAGTGCTGGTCTCCGCTGCAGAGGCGGTGCAGCTCGATGCCAGGTCTCACTCCCCTTGATTGCATTTAACCCGCTGCTCAGAATAAAAAACGGAGCGATCCATTTCCCCTGACAGGAGGAAGAGGTGCTTCAGGAAGCCACTCTATTCAGGCACCATGACTTGACAACTTCCTGCCCATAAATAGCTAACCAGCTCAGCAAGGCTTTTATTTAGAAGTAACAAATCAAGTCATCTGTAAAAATAATTTTAGGACGTTCCTGCCCCTCCTTCCCCTCCCCCTTTATTCTGGCTTCTTAAAAAAAATACAGGGACATAGTCAAAGGAGGTGTCAGCGCTCACCTCACCTAAGTGAGTCGTGCCCCTCGGTGCTGAGCTCCCAAGAGCTCACGTCCCCCTCCAAACGTGTAGATGCTGCGGTGAGGAGAGGTCTTGCAGCTTGATGCCAAGTACCATCATAGAGGCTATTCCGGTTTTCTGCTGTTCTGTCCTTTATTGATATGAAACCCAATGCCTTTATGTCCTCTATTTTTCTCTTGAAGGACATAAAGGCATAGGGTTTCGTGTCAGTAGAGGACAACCAGACTGTCCTCTGTGATGGCCACCCTACCTTGGAGGCTGCCACAGTGTGGCTGTCCCCTTGATTCCTCTCACTCGGGCCTGGTGGAAGCTGCTCGATGGGGCAAAGGGAATCGACATACGGGGCGAACGCTGCAGCAAAGCTGCCCGTTTCCTGTGTCATGTCCAAGGGTTTGGTGCGATTTAGCTCTTTACCTCCCTTACAGAAGGCAACCGGATCTACGGGCCTGATCCAAAGACCATAAGAATCAGTGATGTGAAGCCAAGTCACAAGGGGCCTCTTTGCCTTCAGTGAGCATTATGTGGATGCATAAGTTTTACAAAGTTGGTAGGGTGGGGAAAGGAGTAACCAATTATTTTCCCTCTCAATACGGAGCTCTGACCCAGCACTCACACGGACGACTGACCGGCTGTCAACCAACGTGCCGTTTTCATGGCTGTGCCTATAGTCCGAAAAGTGGCCGAGTTCACACACGTGCAAGCATGTAAACACCCCGGCCAAACTAAAACTTACCCAGAAGGGTTGTTGTCAGCTCTATTTTATCATAAATCCAGAAGGTACCCGAAGGGCTCCCAAAAATCCTTATTTTTTTCAAATCTTATAACCATTCAGAGTTTTGCTCATGTTTTAAGTGCTTGGAGTTTACCCTACTGGATACAACAAGGAAGTAATAAATACAAAAGAAAATCTATGTTTAAAGTTTTTATTATTGGGTTTTTTTTTTTCTTTTTTCTTTTTTTTACCATTTCTGGTTTAAAATAGCTCTTTCTTTGGAGACAGAACTGGAAGAACGGCGTGTTTATTTCATGGCTGACTCATCGGGGTCGTGTGGATAGGATAAATGCTTCAGAAGCTAATGCTCTATAGAGATGATTGTTTTTAATATAAAACAGTAAATGTTTAGAACAACAGGTTCCCCGCTCCCCCCCTTTCTGCCATGGCCAATAAACCATAAGAAAGGCCACACAGTTTACATTTTAATAATATTAAGTTACTTGGTGCCATGTTATTGCAGTCTTTATTGGAAAGTGGAATAAATTGCACACAGAGGAGTCAGAAGAGGGAGAAATCATCATGAATAAACATAGATTCTGGGATGCATTTATTTTTTGGTTTCATCTCAGGAAGGTAGAAAGTTTCCTCGAGAAAACAGATGCCCCCATCCGTCCTGCTTTGGGGAAGGGTCTCCCATTCACTTCTGCAGAATAAAAGCTTTTAGGGAAGCAAGTACCACAGAACTGGTCGGTCAAGGAGAACGAACCTGGCCACGTTCAGTCATTGTTCTCACACACCCCATCCGAGAGAAATCTGTCTTTCAATACAGAATCAGACTGACTACTTGGAAACCGTCCAGTCCCAAAGCTCCAAGGCAGCCAGTCCTTCGACCTGCAATCCAGTAGTGAGAAACGTTGGTCCAGAGTGTTTCGTGGGAAGCCCAGTTTCTACGCCAATGCCAGTGCACACCAAGAGTCCTGACGGAGGGGGACGCTGAGTCCTGATTGCGGAGTCATGGCAGAAGCGAAGGTGTAATCCTCAGGCTCAAATTTGAACTCGGAGTGGCCGCCGGCCAGTGTATCGTCTGATTGGCTTTGAGCCTACGGAGATGACGATAAGGACTGAGTTAATATAAAACTATGGATGGTTTTTACGTAGCAATCTCACATTGAGAAGGTAATATAGCTCCTTTTCTTCGTCATCACCCAGGGATGTCACAGGCTCATGCTAAGGTCTTCTCACTTATTACTGGGGCTAGGGTTTTCAGAGGTGCCCAAGGGAGTTTGCAGCACCTTTGCATTGATACTGCATGGAAATTGGGCTGCTCACTCAGACTCTATTGGCAACCCCAGCAGTTTGGTTGGACTGAATTCTTTGGGATGAAGGGGAAGTGGCAACAACAGAGTACAAAGAGCACGTTATCGGCAGACGGATGATTATCATATTTGTCATAACGTAGGAACATAAACGTGACAGATCATGAGCATGATAGATTAGATCCGACAATAATTCTATACTCAGGAGAACCCCATAGCCAGGCAGAAGAGATGCTTTGTGCGGAGACCGACGTGCACAATTTCTGTCTCTCTCTACGTATCCCATTCAGAGACCGCTGGGCACCTCTACTTTCAGAAGCACTACACAAATCAGATTTATTGGTGTCAGGATAAACACCTCCCATAAACTGGAGATGGCTCCAAGCCAGGCAGCTTGGATCTCAATCTGAGCTTCCCACAAATGCAGGCAAATTGAGCTTGGTTGGACCCAGCGATGAGACAACATGCAGCCACAGTACTTGACATTGCAGACTGGGTCGCAGCCATCTCTTCACCGCATGGATAAAACCTGCTCAGACAAAGCCTCAGGGCAAAAAAAGGGGTCTTGTACCCAAGACCTGTAGGAACTGCTGGTTTTGCTGTATCTTCACCAATGAAGTACAGCTCAAAGCTGCAAAGTGAGCTCCACCCAGTAGCATGTGCATCTAACTGACGTGTTTCGGGGGCTGGAATTTCCTACACTAGGCTCCTCATGCTTATACTGGTTTTACAACACCATAACTCCACTGACTCCATTGCATTTACTTCTAGGTCAGCACTGAGTGAATTCAGATCACGTTCTACCTGGTCTCCAACTCCTTAAGTTTGCCACTTCCTGGGCATGTCTACATGAGATGCTCACTGTGCATTAGCCTAATAACACCACGCAATAACATGTCACGGCAGAAACCACGCCAATAGCCTACTGTGCAGTGTTATTAGGCTAATGTGCAGTAAGTGTCACTAAATAACTGTGCGCTGGCACTACTGTGCAGTAACTCTAGGTACTGTGCATTTAGTTAGTACTAAACTAAATGAGCAATATCTGAAGTGCGTTGATGAACGTGTAGATGCACCCCCTGTCCCTGAGCAAAGGTGCCAGGACTTTCAAGACCTCCTGCCCCGGAGAAGCCCCACAGATGTGCTCACTTGGCCCTGTTACGGGCAGGTCCTGCCCTGAAGTCTCATTCTGTACTTCATGGAGAATTTCCACACACATGATTTTCGTTTCATGTTGGAACAAAAATCAAATTCAGAAACACTGAAACCCTTAATGGAAGGTCATTGCTGTTCCCTGCCCAGCTCTACAGAGTCCCTGTACCAGTGCCAAGACAAAAGGTGCAACTGGAGGGAGAGGACACGCAAAGGGGACGTCCTGCACCAGGCAGTATCTAAACCAGCCCTATTGCACAGAAACTTAAGAGCACCTCATATGAAGTCAGCGCAAGTTGCTCCCTCCTCTTGTGCCTTACCTGGGAAACCGAGACGATCGTTTGTCCCGGGAACTGCGATGTCACACTGGGCTCGGTTTTTAAAGTGACGGTGCTGTCTGAGTTTGTAATGGAGGAAGGGGAGTTAGTGGCTGAAGTTGTTGACCCTGCAAGGCAACAGTTACAAGTTTGGTAAAGCAACACGGGCACTGACCACTTTTGAAAGCAGCGGTGGTTTATATTTTTATGGCCGCCTGCGCTTTCAGCAAAGGGGAGACTCTCCAGTCTCGCAGTGCTAGTGTTGCATAGGAGTATACGGCACCACCAAAGTAGAGCTGACTGGTAGGGGACATGATAGAGAAACCTGGGTGGGAGGTAGAGACATGATAGAAGTATGCTTTATTTCTCATGCACCTGCCTGACGGAGGCTGGTAGTCCTTCAGAGTCCATCAGGGCTGCCCTCCAATCTGCTGGAGGGTTGCTGCAAGTGAAGCATGAGGCACGGGCCATCTGGGGCATGCCTGGGTCCTGCTTTTTCCTTCTACCCCCTTGTTGCCTACCTTAGCCTGATTGACAGCCCTGCAGCCCCAGAACCCGCTACCTGCCCTGCTCCACACCATCTGGAAAGTCTGCTGGCAGAAACATCAAGGGCTCCTGAAATGAATTTTCCTTCCTAGGTCTCTCACCTCATCGCTCCTGCCAAGCACCAATGGGTAAGACTAGGAATTGCACATGCCTTCTAAAAAGGCCAGCGGGTAAACAGTTAATGCCACAGCTTTGTTTTTGTTGTCACACTACTTTGGGGGGTGAGCCCCCCGCTGAGATGAATGGCGCTGTTTGGGCTCAAGAAAACAACAGTTTGTCAAGCTGCATCTGAAGGGTTTCTTTCCCACCACGACAACTAAAAGTCCCTCCTCACCCCCATGACTTTTTCTAAGAGAAGAAGATGACCAACCAGCCGTATCGGAGACCAACCAATTCCATAGTAATACAATTACTCTAAACATCAGACCCCCCTTATGGTCTAAGCCAAAAGGAAGGGCAAGTAAAGAACAGTACCTGTTGAAGTTTTGCCTTTGCTAATGTTTTTAGGCTTCCTTTTCCTCGTCTGGATGCTTTCCTTTTTCATTGCCAGAGGTCGTGGTACCTTGACATGCATAAAGTTGAGAACCATTAATATTGCATTTTACTTAGGTCGTAACCACAAATTTGCTGCTTTTCTGTTTACATACTGTAGTGTGTGTGATGCATGTACAGGCCTTGTCCTTCAGTACGTGCTATTTTTCTTTGCAATAGGCCTTGGCTGGAAGATGTATAAGGCTGAACAGCTAAGGGTTTCCCACAATTTTTTCCCCCCCCTAATTTCCTATTTTCCTTTTCCTGATTTATTAGTGACCTCTACAACCTCATCTTATTACATTATACCAGCATCTGGGGAACTCAATGGTTTGCACATAATCATCACTTTAACCACTGGGCCATCAGTTTCTCTGGTCCAGACTAAAGGATTAAAGGTGCTTTCTGACCTATGGGCAGATTTTTGGTAATTCCCATCCTTAGTGGATAAAAGTTATTATGACAAAAATCCCATTCCCAATTCGACACTAACTGTCCCCTATGTAGAAGATGAGAGCCACCATAGATTCAGTCGGCATTGGGACTATCCTCTCTGAATGGTCCTTCCAGGTCAAGCGTGGTATGATTACAATAAAAGAAAGGCTATCCTCCTCAAACCAGGGAACTCTAAGGCTGGTAATTAATATGGATCTTTTTAACACATTGAAATAGAAATAGGAGCCAAAAAAGATTTGTGCCTTTGCCCCTGTGACAACCAAATGGAAAGCAGAGCGACTGTATTTAAAATGCTTGTGTGTTAAGGCCGGTAATGATTACCTGCTCTGAGCGCTGGTATAACCCAGATCCCAGAGAGCCAGCTAGTCATTTCTGCATCAGGCCTGTCATTTTTGTTTGAGCAATGCTGCATCTCTTAGGAAGACGTACGGTGAAGTAATGGAGACTCCACCATGCCCGTAAACCTTCATGGGTGAAAAGACACCTTATTTCTAGTCTGAATTTTTCTTCCTTCAGTTTCCAGCCACTGGATCTTGTTTTTTGCCCTTTTTTCTGGTAGATGAACAAGCCATCTACCGTCAAAAAACTGAACCTAGGGAAAAGTAATCTCTTGGCCTACTCTTGAAGCTAAACTAAACAGACTGAGCTTCTCATTATACAGCACTGGATCATTCTTGTAGCTCTTTTCTGAATCCTTTCCAGTTGCTGGACTGGATGAAGCTGCTGCTTCGAATATAAAGTCAAGGCATGGTATTTTGAACCCCTTGGAAAATGATGAAAGGCATGCCTAGAATGGTTTCCTTCAGAGGATGAGCGAGTTCCTTACCCCATGGAGCTTCATGTATAATCCACAGGCGTTGCAGACGGGTTCTCCTTCTGCGTTGCGTCTCCAGAGGGTGGTGTTGGTTGTGTGACAGTTAGTGCAACAAAGACCAGCACGTCTAGATGATGACTATAAAAAATAGAACATATGCACGCGCATGAGACAAGAAAAAGTGGGAGTTTGCATGAAGAGGAAAAAGAAAAACCTCGGCTTATGTCGATTTCCTGGAAAATGAAAAATGCTGAAAAATGTACAAGATAACAAAATTCACATAAAAGAAATAGCATTCTAGTGAGATCATTTTCATTTGCCAATGCTTTTTTATTGAGATTGATAAACCTGCCAGATATCCTTTTAATCTCTTGCATTAATGTTAAACAAATCTGTTCCAAGAAGTAATATTTCATAACATGGTGCAATGATTTCTAAGCCATCCCGTCAGATGCAGAACAATTTTATAAGAACTGTTATCCAAGTTTATGAGCAGAAATTTTACAAACTCTATAGAAGCACATTGTTGCTCTAACTCAACTATTCAACTGTACTGTACACAACCCCCGCATTAAATTACCAGCGGCCAAATTAAACTCTGGTATAAAACTGCTGGGGTCAATGCCGTTACGTCAGTGTTGGCTGGACTTTGTAACTTCAGTATGAAAAAATTATGCTTTGTATGTGTTGCATATGGTACATCTCATCTAAAAGACCAAAAACACCAGATAAAAATTAATGAATGACCCATTTTTGTGTGCACTGATTCTGGAATTAGGCCTCCAAATGACTGTTTCTTTAGGGTAGAAGAAACACTTTTGCAGAAGCAGCAACTGTCAACCGTATCTGTCAACTACATGCTCAGCCATTGGGAAAGTCAAGAGCTCCCAACACAGGGTTTTAGCTTGTCAACTTATGGGTGTTTCATTATAACATCTCTTAATGCTAGGCATTCAAAGTATTTTAATAGGACACTTCAGTAAGTGGAAGCATACCAGCACCATATTTAATATTAAGGACTATCTCCACATTCAGATGTTTGACTGACATTCTTCAGCCTTGAGAAAACAATTTCAGTTCATCACAGAGACAAATGACACATGATGTGAGCTAGGAAGAATTCAACATCTGTTTATTTTTCCATTGCGGCTTCCATTATTACTCAGCCTTGCGATAAATTAGGCGCAATGAGTAGGAATAAAAAAGAAAGGCTTTGCATAGTTAGTAGGCAAGTAGAGAATCAGGTTTGAGTTTCGGAGATGTGGGCTGATGTGACACTCATCTGATTTTTTTTATGTAAAGAGGCTGTATGGCAACTAGCAGCAAATAATGATGTTGCTTTATAAAACTCTTTCACTTTCAAAAAAGTAACCTGTCAAAAACATAAACCCAAGGTGCAATCTGGTTTAATCGGTACCTGTGTTAAACTTTTTCCTTAGCAAGTCCTGCCCCTAGCAAGAAGGACAGAGCCGTGATTGTACCGGGGCAAAATCCTGCTCTTGGAGATGCTACCTTAACTCTTGCTAGGCCCAGTCCACGAAAGCCCCATGTGCAACCTGTGCCATGATCAATCCTGCAAAGTGTTCGACCCCTCTGCTAAGCCAGGGAGAAAGGAGATCTGCCAATGCCCCCCTGGACTTGTCCCACCAAGGCAGTGTATACAGCAAGCCGATGGGATTACTCACAGAAATAAGTGCCACATCTGTTTCTGAGGGTTGGGGTTTCCAGAACTGCTCTTGCAGTTCCCACTGAAGATTGCAGGGATTTTACTAGGGAGTGGGACCAAAATAAGGCCAATGGGAAGAATCTGAAAGTCTCAGTGTTTGCAAGTTGAGCTACCAGAAGAGACACTTAGGGGCTTGCCTGTATATAGTAACAGCCACTGGGTTTGGAGAAAGGGGGACTTCAAATTCAATAGTCGAGTGCCTCAGGACGAGTGTGTAGAGCCTGCGTGGACCTGTCCAGCTCTGTCCTGCCTTGAACCAGCAGACTCAGTGAAGGCTCAGGTCTCACGGCAGGGGTTTGACCCAGCAGGCGCCTATACACGAGCAGTGAGGCTGCTCCAACATGCTGCGATTGCAGCGCATTGGACCAGGCTGCTGCATTGTGGTAATTACCGTGCTCCGGCATCTCATGCATCAGCGTCCCCATGCTTAAAAATGGCAGCGGGGGTGCGTTATCTAACGCTTGTTCTTTAGATAAAGTGCCCTTGCCACCATTTTAAACAGGAATACCGATGCATGAAATGCTCCTGGCACTTGAATGGCTCTGCCACTCTAATTAAAGCTCTCTCCCCCCGCCCCCAGAGCACGTGTATAAATCCCCCTGATCATTGCATTTACATTATAAACGGCACAAAACCAGTCCATGTCCTTACATGCCCAGACCACCACAGTCACTGGGTGCCTCGCAATTGTGACTGGCTTTTATCCGCCTGAGCCTCTGCGAGGTAGGGAGGTGTTATCCCCATTTCACAAATGGGAACTGAGGCATGGGTAGATTCACTGCCTTGTCCAAACTCAAATGCAAACCCCGTGGTGAGGCGAGAGCAGACCCACCTCCTCTTCAGTCCACTGCCTGACCCACTAGTAAGATCTTGCTAAATTTTTGGCCTCAGTTTTGATGAAAGTGTGAGTAACACGTACCTGACTGAACCCAGAACCAGCTATTTCTCATAAAATCCTCCTTTTCAATCTGACCCTCCTCCTAATGAGCTCAATGACAGCACAACCAAGCCTCACCAAGTTACCAAAAATATCATGTCTAAGCACTCTCTGCAATTGGCCGTTCTGAATTTTGAAAGAAAGACACAGTCAAGGCTACTTGTGCTCACTGAAGGACGCAACTACAATACGGCATGGCGAATTTCCCAGCAGTTCACTTAAAAGAAAACGCGTTCCTGCCCGCCCCCGCCCCATCTGCCTTTGTAGCGTCCTGACCTTGTCTAGGAAGCGATTGACTTCAACATTGTGCTCTAGTGTTTATTTATACAAATGCAGCGTACACTTAAACAGAAAAGCTCTTCATGGGCTGCACTTGACAGCAACTGCTGCTGATAAGCTCGAGGAATCATTAGTTTGAGCGCACTGAATACAGCCCACGTTATAAAAGTTATACCGAGACTCTGCCAGAGTTTGTAGCCCCAAGATACAAGGAATTCAGACTGGACGGAGCTGTCTGCGACGTTGGGCCAGCGTTTGCAGCGAAACCACCAAGTCCCCCGAGAATCACTTAGTTTCATTTTCGAACCCGGAAATGAAATCAGGCGAGTTGCACGGAAAATACCTTTGGACCCGAGACCGTTCAATCAAAACGCAGCTAAGCTTTTTGCCGCATTTAGACAGGCCCGACTGGTGGGAGAGTAGGTTCGCTTAAAATCCTGCCGCATCAGATGAACTTTATGAATATGGGCTGCAGGAAGTGTACCTGGGTCAGCTTGTCTAGGCAAAATCCTGCTCTCGGAGATGCTGCCTTAACTCTTGCTGTGATCAATCCTGCAAAGCGCTCAGCACATGCACTAAACCCCTAGGGAAAGGAGAGGAGCGCCGTGCAGATCTGCCAGAGCCACCCTGGAGTCATCCCACCGAGGCAGCCTATATAGCAAGGATACAGCAGAATATCCCTGTTTGAATCTGAGCCCTGCCTCTGACCTCCCGGCTTTGAATGAACCTGAAACTTGAGGGATTTGCGATCGCGTGAACTGAAATTCATGGGGACGTTAATCAAAACACATAACATCCTAGAAAAATAGGGCTGAAAGGGACCTTAGGTCATCTTATTCAACCCCTCCTCATGGCAGGATCGGCTCTGTCTAAACCTTCCCAAATAAATGCTCGTCTAACCTGTGCTTACGAATTGCCAATAACAGACATGCCACAACTGGCATAGATAAACCGTTTCAGTGATCTCTGTCTCGCAGCTGGAAAGTGCTTCCTCATATACAACCCAGATCTCCTTTGTAGCAATGTATGCCCCTTACTTTGTCCCTGATAAAGTTCACGCTGACCTAGGTAGATCCCTGTTCACTTCGTACGGCATTTATGATCCAACCCCAAGTCAGGTTGCCCGAAGCGGTATTACCTCCATGCGAACAGTTAAGGTATAGCTGTCATAAAAGACATGTCTGAAACCCCTCTGTCAAAGGAATCCTCTGTCCCTCGTTGACTGTGATTGCCATTATTGGTTGACTTTGCGGTTATCTGACATGCGTTGTAAAAATCGTCATGCTTTTTTGCTCTTGGTTTTCTTTCCCCCCCCATCAACAGTATAATCATTTCCGTGGAACACGTCCATGCACAAAGCACTGCTTAGCACAATGATTTCAGGAGACACTGCAGACACTATAGCAAGTTTCTGTGCAGTATCCGAACGGCAAAGCTCTAGGGCTACTGAAAGAAAAAAAAGGTAACTTCAACGTGCTGGGCAGTAACGGCTTCCTCAGCAGTGGCCCAGTCTGACAATTAGCAGACTGAACAAGGACTCCGTTAAGACCTCAACAGCTGGCTCCAAACTAGATTTTAATAGTCAAGGCTGTTCAGCCCCGCAGAGACAATGCACTACTTGTGTAGCAAGCCCTGAATCTGTGGCTATTTCTGCAATAACTCAGTTTTCTAATCTGAGCAGTTCCCAATGAACTCTGTAGGACTACCGAAGTATAACAAGCCACGTGTGCTTCCAGGACCAGGTCCTAACTTAATAGTTATAAAACATTTCAAAGTACCTTGCCTATAAAAGGTGTCTGTAATGCAAAACTCTGTCCTATCCCGTCTCTGAGCTACTGCTTTCTGTTGAAATCAGTACTAGCATCCTATTCATTTTAAAGACAACACTGATACAACTCATACATTACAGACCAGCTGCCTGTGCTGCTTACAGAATGTCACCCTTAAAATGTACTAGCAATTGTACACTTCTTGCTCTACTGTATCATCTTATACAAGAATAGGCTGACTGATGTGAAACTGCTGAGTATCATTCCCACTGCACTGCATAAAGTCATTCTGAAATCTCTAGCAAAGGGTGTATCTTTTTATTTGGTGGGACTTTGCATAGTAAAAAGAGCAGGCATCAACATAACACACAAGGAAATAGCTGGTTACAGAACTAAGAACCTAAAACACAACAGCAGCCACCTAATTGCAACGTCTGCATCTCCAAACACTATAAGAAGGCATAACTGAACTGCTCCTAAGGTTATTGATACTGTAATATTTATCTGAATTGCCTAATAAAAGTACAGGGCACTTTCCCTATCAATGAGGCTAGCATAGGAAAGATGACATGCAGTGCTTTGCCCCCACCCCCCAAAAACCAAACCAAACCAAACACCTGTGGAACAAATTTTGTAAATTTAGAAAATAGCAAGATGAAATCTGTAATTTCTGTAACCAGACATTTCCCTGTGTGTTACTTTGATGTCTGGGTCTTCTCTTTTTACTATGCAAAGCCCCACTGAATAAAAAGACAAGCCTCTTCCTAAAGATTTCAGAATTAATTCAAAAAAATTGTTTTATGAGGCTAAAGACACACCCAGAATGACATCAGGCATCCAAAGCTAATCCTTAAGGGATCTGCTGAGAATTTGCTAAGTAATAATCTGAATAATAAATACCACCAAATCCACGGTAGGACTTTGCATGCAAACAAAGGGAAAAATGGAACAAGCAGAAATAGCCCTTTTCCTGGACTATATGAAGAGACCAACCCTGTTTTTATCTGAGCTGCTTTCAGGGTCAGGACCCAGTATTTTAGCCTCCTCATTCACTGAACTGGGCATCACATACTGCTTCCCATGTTAGAGACAGTTGCAGGGCACGCTCAGCTCTCATTCACTTTCCATTCACTGCCCATTCATTTTCCTTACAAATCCAAAGTCAGTTAGTCCATACAAGGTTGCTAGAGCAGCCAAAACTGCCCTTGAGTTGGGCGTGAGAAATGGTTGTGGCAATAAGATCGACTGTTGCAACATCCTTGTGTTGTCCAGTGTCTGCAACTGGCAAGATGCACGAGATCTGCTTCACTGCTCCTGCAGCGCTGAAGTCAGCGTGAACTTTCCCAGTGGCTTCGGTGGATGCCAAATCAGCCCCACTAGTTACAAAACCCTGCTCCGCTACTCCAAAAAATGCCAAGACCTATCTGACCACAGGAGCATTTGGGAAAAGGCACAGAGGGGTGCGGGTTGCAGAAGGGCTTCCCAGAGAAAGTATGACTCCTCTCGGGTGCAGTATGCTTCGCGCACAGCCCCACATCCCTGCAGCCTGAGCCAGGGGACTGAACATACGAAGGGCAACATGTGCACATAGGGGTTTATCTGAATGTCAGGTTCTCTGCTCCATCATGGGGGATTGGGAGGTTACTGGTTGCCAGTCAGTAATGATTCAGCAAGGCAGGGATCCAGTATAAGGATAGTCTAAACACTGAGCATATCCTGCCAGTAATACCTCCACAAAAAACCCCGTAGTAGCATGTCCCAACTGGCCCTGAAGCAAAGTCCACAGCAGCAGAGACCTGAATTTCACATATACCACTCATTATATCCCCCCGGCTGGGACACCCCATTAGAAGCAAGAAATACGTGGGACTGAGAGCTGAATCTCCCCACCCTCCCTGCCCTTTCTAACCCAGTTGGCTTTCCCTCTTATGAAGTAAAACTGATTCTCCGTTCTCCAGAAAACTGCAGGGCTCTGACATTCGGTTTCATCCCAAATTAAGATAAAAGTCAGGCAAAACCTTTACTTTGTGCACCGACTGAAATATTTGGAAATATTTCCCTTTTGCTTTGTTGAAATGTGCTGCGTGGACAAGGTCTTAACGCTGCATTTTTATAAGATCTTAGCATTTAATTTTGACTGTGCCGTCACGTTTCATAGGATAGCATAGGACTCGAAATGATAAAATTAAAAGGGCTTTGGTAATTTCCCAAGGAAAAAAGTTGACCCAATCAATGTGTTCCTGGGAAGCATGATTTGTGGAATCGGTACAGTCCAATGGAAAGCAGTTGGAAATGAACGTTTTTGACCTATGCCACTCATGCGGCGGCAGCAGAAGTGGAAGAGGAGCTGTGATCGGGACTAATTCAGGGAAGCCCAGAAAATAGCCACTGCTCCACTGACCAGCCTGGATATAGTGCCGGGGGGAGTGCAGGAGACCTAGCTCAGCGTCTCTCCAGGCAGGAACAAGAATCTAATTAAAGGGGGAACCTATTAGCCTCCATTTCGTTATAGCCCTTTATGCGAGCTGGAAGAACGATCCTAACAGCAAACACCACTCTGGAGTCACTTTGTACAAGTACTGCGAGATCCAAGCACAGACCTGGCCGATTTTTCTTTCTGTTGTTATTTCAACCCTTCTGCACTATTTTCTCTAACGAAATTAGTGGCCCTTCTCTGGATTTGCAGGCGTGTAAACGAGAGCAGAGACAGGGACACTGATCAGACTAAAGCACGTGAGAAATTTTCCAGGGACACATTTTTTTCTGTCAGTTAAAGCAAAAATGCTTCATTTTGACAGAGGCATATTTTAAAACCCAGAGTGCAATGTTTTGATTTTCCATTTAGAGAGGAATATATCTTTCAAATATTTAACTGTATTATGCAGGGCATTATAGAAGAAAAAATGTAAAAACAAAAAAAATCAAAATCAGAATGAACCATTTTGATCAACATGCTAGTTGATCTTTAAAAAAAAAAAAATAATGTCATGGAAGGTTTCAAAATGTTTTGTTTTTGTTTTATTTAAGAAGAAAAAAAAATTGAATTAATCCAGTCTCCTGCAACACGAAAAACCCAGCTCTTACGTAGAGCTGATTCACACATACAAGTATCCTGGATATTTTCAATGACTGATTTTCAAGGTAAAACTGTTACATCTAACAACTAACTTTACACATTCAAAAGGTGAATTTATATGAGAAAAAAACATCCCCTCCCTCTTGCCACAAACTGCGATGAGATTCAGAGGAATCCAACACCTGGAAGATTAATACTACAATCTGAAGACATGGCAAGCAGCTAATTAAGAGTACAGATCTAAATCTAAACTTCAGCCAACCCTGACAGCTGAGAGGCATCACTGACTCCCTGGGGCTCCAGCCTATCCTATTTATTTAGTTGGGGCCCAATTCTGCTTCCACGCAACTTTTCAGCCAGCTCTGACATCTATGGAAAAAGGATTGATCAGAGATCAGCGGCTGTTCCCCATATCCAGAAAGCAGGGTAGATATACCACTAAATATATATCATTTAATTAGTCTGTGAAGGTGCATATGTCCATGTATGTGTATTTTGTATACATATAGCACAAGCTTTTCTGAACCCAAGTTCCCTTCAACAGATGCTGTGAAAGGAGGTGCAGAAAGCAGAGTATAGGAAAGAGAAAGAAATTAGAACACAAAAGCCAAGGAAGAAGGGTGAAAGAGAGAGGTAGCCAGCCCTGAAAAGTAATTTACAGATCTCTTTACCCAAGATTATATCAAATCTAGGAGTTAAATTTATTAGTATGACTGATATATAAAATATACATACATATATGAGTGCATAAAGTCAATATATGTGTGGGTAAAGTCAGTTGCATATGTATTCTATACACACACACACACCTATACACATATACACGTACACACACACATTCATATATACGTATATATTGTATGTATTAATATATTAATACAGATGTGTGTGTGAATATAGATCTATATCCATATACTGTATGTATATATATATA